AAATAAAAAATTAGATGTTAAAGAAAAATAATTATTTTTTTGTATTTTTACTATACATTTCTAAATATATTATATTTTTTAGTAAAGTATTTAGACCGCTCAAAAAATTGTCAGTTTTCGATTAGGCGTTCTTGACACTAAATGTTACATTGGTAATTACTATTCATTGCGTAGTAACATATTCTTTGGAAGGCCTAACTCGGGCAAATGGGCTTATACATTCCAATTTCTGCATGGTTTAGTCATTCACAACTTGCCAAGACCGTCGTCTATATAGGGTTAAAGTCTTTTTTGAACAATAAAAAAATCAGACGATGGCGATAGAGCTTATTTCTGATTTGGTAGAGGAGATACTCTCATGGGTTCCAGCTAAATCACTTACACTATTGAAATACACTTGCAAGAAGTGGAAAACCCTAATCTCAGACCCTAGATTCGTTAACAAGCACTTGCGTTGCCGTGAGCAGCAATTCACAGTCTTCAACAACGTTTCCGCCATAGATTCATGTTCCAAAGTTTCTTGTATGCGTATCGATTTCAACAAACACAAGAATCCTTGTTTGGATTTGCAGGTTCTTAAAGATGTTTCATCTATGGATCCATTGCTTCAGAACATGTTTCATTGTGATGGTCTATTGATATTGGTCACGAGAATCTATCTTTTAGTTTTGAATCCATTGTTGAAACAAGCTAGATGGATCAAAGGTGGATGTAGCTTTGACAATACGATGGATGCTTGTGGTCTTGGTTACATTAGTAACCAATCATCATCAACTTGTAATGATTACAGAATGGTAAGTTTTCGTTGTGCTCCTCTCACTCAAGCCAGCACAAGGGTTGAAGTATACGAATTCAAATCTGATTCTTGGAAGTATGTTGTTGATAGAACATTTGATGGGTTCTTTGGATTACCACTGTCAAGTGCGTGTTTGAGAGGAACTCCTTATTGGATAGGTTACAATAAGTATGATAACAAAACCTTTTCGATACAGAGTTTCGATTTCTCAAAAGAGAGATTTGAGCCCTTGTTTCTTCCTCCTTCATCATTTGAGCGTGAAGATTTGATTTCTTTATAGGGATTTTCAGAGGAGATCACCTTTCTCTGTTACATAAATCCTGCTTCGCGGATCAGATACACATATGGGTGATGATGAAGTAGCATTGGAACAGATTGATGACAGTTGCTATACCTGAACTTTCCATGTCATATAAATATCCAACTTACTTCATTGAAAACAATGGTAAGCTTGTGTTATCTGTTCATCACTTTGAAACCGGGTCAATTAGAACCTACATCGTCGGAGAGAATCAAGAGTTCAAAAAACTTCAACGTTACTATTGTATGGATGTTAAAATTGGTGGCTGCTACTATGTTCCGAGCTTGCTTCAGGTTCCAGGCTGTTTGGTGAGAAGAAGAAAAAGGAAAATAACATGATGGTTTCGGTATTAAAGAGTTTATTGTTTCTCTACTTTGATGAGTTATTGTCTGACTTTCGAATTCCATAAACAGAGTGCAATAGTTTGCTTCAATGACTGTGTCTTGATGTGGTCATCATTCAACACTATTGCAGATCAAACTGAAACAACCAGAATAATGTTACAGGACATTTATATACAACATGTTCAAAAGTTGATAATTCACCAGCAAAACATGTTTCAATGAGGCAATTCTGCTTCAACTTCATTCCACAAGTCAGCATTTCTTGTAAACCTCTGTTTTACTTGCGCGATGAGCTTCTTTGCTTCTTCGACTTTCGAAAGACTCGCTAGTCCATTAACAAGCCATTTCATGACACTAAAACTCGGAACCCAATTCTTCTCCATACTCTCCTTACAAAGGATCAAACCTGTCTCAAAGTCTCCCTCTTTACACAAACAATGCATTAACGCAAAGTAACATTCACTATCAGGCTTGTACCCACTCTTCACCATAACCTCGAACAAATTCATCGCCTCATCCAAATTCTCCTCACTGCAAAACCCATGAATCAAATGCGAATACGTCGCGGAATTCGGTCTCATCCTACTACACATAACACCACAAAGCAATGCCTTTGCTTCTGCAGATTTCTTCCTTTGACACAAACACTGAATCATGATGTTGTATGTCGAAATACCGACATGAACACCGAATTCTTTCATCATTCTCAAAACTTTCCTCACATCATCATACTTCTCCTCTTTGTAAAAACCAGCAATCATTAAACCGAAGCTAGAAGCTGTTGGCTTTATCCATTTCCTCTCCATATCTGCAACAATGGAGTATGATAAACTCGTTGAACCAGATTCACACAAGATTCTAATCATTCGATTGTACGTTTCGAGATCAGGCTCAATGCCATAGATCTTCGGTGTTTCGAAGTAGATTCGTTTCGCTTCTCTGTAATCTTTCGCCATTAAGCAAGCGAAAAGAAGAGCATTCAAAGACTTTACCGTTCTTGGGATCTCGTATTGCTCGAGGTTATGGAATGTCTGTAAAGCTCGATCAAGCATATTTGCTCGGCCGTATAGAATAATCGCCCGGACGGCGAAACTCTCCGATTTGGGATTTGGTTGGTTTTGAATGAATCCGTCGAGAAGCTCCGACACAGCGGCGAAGTGTTTCTCCTTCGCCAGTGTAACGACCGCGACGGAGAACGCGATTCGGTCGACGTGGTAATCAGGTGAGAGAGAAGCGGATCTGCATATTTCGAGGATCCGATTTGGATTATTCTCGGTTTTGAGAAGGGAGAGAACTTCCCGGCTCTTCTTATGATTGCTAGTGAGCGAGGTTTTGGAACTCGGTGTCAGGATTAACGAGGCGGAAGATAGGAGTCGGAATCGAATCACGGTGTGGAAGAGAGATTCCGATGTTCGAATGCGCAAGAGAAACGCCATTACTAGGGTTCATGATGTTCCCGAAGAAATGGAAGATGACGGTGGAGAGAGAGAAAGTGGTTTAAACCGGTTTAAGGGATTTGACGAAATTAAAATTTAATTTTCAATGGTTTTCTTAACTCATCTGAGCCGTTGATGTTTAATCCATAGTCACCAAAAGAGACGGTCCTGATGAATCTGAGT